ATGTTTTTTTAGGGCTTCTTTGTGTGTCTATATTTTCCAGAAATTCCGGGAGTTTTTTGGAGTTTTAACGGTATTTCGGGGTCATTTGGTAGCTGGGAATTTTCCGACTTTTAGTTTTTGGGACTTTTTGAAGGAGCTTTTGTGGATTTTTTTCGGAACATTTCGGTTTTATGGATTTTTTCATGTTTTATTTCTTGCAATGTTTCCGTACCTTTTGTAAATTTTTTCGGAATATTTCGGACGGATTTCAGGAATTCTCGGATTTTTTCTAGTCGGAATTTAAGTTTTTTTTACGTTTTGGGTTTTATCGGCACTTTGTGAGTTTTTTCGGGTCTACTGGACTTTTCGAGATTTTATTCCTGATGATTCGGTATTTTTCAGGTATTCTAATTGTAAAAAAAAAAACAATAAAGTAATTTACTTTTCCTCCTTTCGGAATGAATTTTAATTTTATTCTGCAATATAAAAAAATTCAACAATAATTGGTTTTGTTTTTTTAGCAGGGAAAAGGAAAATTTATTTTCGATTTTTATTTCAACGGTCGAAGTAGCCCCAACCCAGCAAACAAATTTAGTGGAATTTGGCCCAAATCAAAAAACTGAATAATTGGTTTTTCTTGTCAATAGCTTACTAGAATTACAAGCTCAGTGCGGCAATGTATTTATTTAATCAAATTTTCAAATCACATCAAATCAAATCAAAAATCATAATTTAATCAAATCAGAAAAAAGGCACTTTCAATAGGGGTGACATTGTCGATACCTACGAAGGGTAGGAAATTTCACTATTCGCGTCGAAGAGTAACACATTTCAGTATCTCGCGTGAAAGAGTAACAAAAAAAACCCTTTATTCGCAATAAGATTATTTTTAGTGGAAAAAAATTTAGATTGCGCGTTGAGCGCTTTGCCAAAACGCCCTTGCAATCGCAACTGTACAAAGTACTTTCAAACTTAAAAACTTATGTATGTATGTACATATACATACACATAAAAACCTAATACTTTGTTGATACATACACGTATTTTAGCCAGAAAGTACCAAAATGAGGAAATAAAATTTAACAGGCCAAGCTGCCAAGTGTGATAATAAATATTTAAGTGAAGTGAGAGGCAAAAATCCTCACTAAAATTAAATTTGTACATATGTAAATGTTGACGAAGAGAAGTGCTGAAGTAGGACAACATGGAATACCTACTTACCTACAAATATTTAAGTAAGTGAACACATACTTGGCATAACCTAATATGCAATAACTGAACAGATGTTGCTATGGCCAAAAACGAGTAGGTACAATGCAAACATTAGTTAAAGATAGTCGAATTAAAGTGTCAAAATGGCGACTTATCATAAGCTGAGATGAATTTTTAAGCGAAAGCCAAAGTTTTCCAAGAAATTGCGAGTACTCAGAGTACTGTGGGTTATACAACAACAGGTGTCTTACTAGCGGCAAGTGAATGCGAAGAAGGCGTCAGTAATTGTGGGATCTACTTTAACTCGCTACTAAGATTAAACCAAAAAAATTATGACAGAAAAATTATAGCGATACTGATGAGTTAAGTCAAGTGGGTAAGGAAGGCATGAATGGAAGAATAGGATGGGGCAGGGCAACGAAAGAGAAGTAAATGAGGCAACAAAAAAAAAAAAATGACTAAGCCTCACCACCTGCCGCTTTTCACACCATCCACCTGTTGTTGTTACATTGCCGAGGCTCTGCAGAGGCGCTGCACAGCACAGAGGTTGCCACATTTTAATTAACAACAATTCATTTGTTAAAGTTAATTTGTTATTATCGCGACAGCGTAACTTTACAGCAACAGCAGCTGGCAATAGTGAGTAAGTATGTTAGTAAGTAACAACAACAACAACAACAGCAAGTGCTGCAAAGCATCAAAATATGTATGAGATTAAAGCAAAGACTAAGCGTGAAGTCAAGAAAGCTAAAGATTAGACGGCGAGATGAGATCGCATTTTTGGCGCTTGCGAGCAATACCAGCAGCCAGCCGCCAACTTGTAGTTAGTTAGGAGTCGAGTATTATGCCGCGTCACACAGTTTTATTATTGGCTTGCAACATCCATGCAAAGCTCCAGCTCCAGCTCCAGCAACAACTACAGCTCCAATGATCTTGGCAGTTACACAAATAGCCGAAACCCTATTAACAATGTTGCCATTATCACATTAACACATTTATGTATTTTTTGCTGAAGCTAAGATGCAGCATACACACACACACTTGTGAAAGCTCACTCGTTTTTGAACAACAGCTAACTTCCCACACAACGCGCTTTCAAAGATTTTTTTCTCTTCTTCTTCTACTTCTACGTCAAATTCAAGAGTGTGTACATTGTGGATGGATGTGAATCGTTGTTTTTGTAGTTGGTATCTTCCATGTACACAGCGCACAGTGGGACGTCGCCATATAAGCTGCGGCCAAAAGTAGTAATAGTAACAGGAACTCGCTGAACTTTCGTATACTTACGCGCTGTTCGGCACTTAGGAATGAAGAAATGTGGAAAATGGTAAAATTCAACGCGCTACCACGCCCACAGCTCTTGTGGGCGGAAATAGTAAATGTTATCTGATTTTGATGAAATTCAGAGCATATGCTGGTTTTAACGAGAAAAGCATAAATCTGAAAAATCAGATCAAAATCGGTACACATTATCGTCCAGTAATTCTAGAAAACAGGCGCAAATTAAAAAAAAAAATATATACTCTTTGATGAAATTCGGTGTGCCCTGCTCGTTTAAGGCAGAAATTTCCAACTTGGAAAATAATAAAGAATTTCTTATTTCGGCGCCCACCTTCTACACAATTTTTTTTTTGCTCCATGTAATAAATTTTATGAATTTTGGAGATAATAAACAGTGATATTTATTTTATTTCTAAAGAAGTTCCTATTTCTTCATTTTAAAAAGGACAAAACGAAAACATTTACAATACCTGCATACTAAATTATTTGCACGAAATGTATTTACACTGAAACTTTTAATTTTACCTACATTTTATACAACAAAAGCTGAGCTAAAGCCATTTATATACCCTTCAGCTCTACAATAAAAATTCAATAAAATTTACAGGAGGTGGGTCTATAAAAGGAGGAATAGAAACTGAACTCGCAGTTCCTCGTACGTTAATGTTTAGTGTTTAATGGATTAGCTGGATATTTTGCTAAGTATCTGCGTAATTAATTTTCCAGAATTCGATAACCCGTTTTTACTACCTACTTTTGGCCGCTGTAGTCCCATTGTGCAGCGCATTGTGAGTGTTGAAAGGATTGTTGTTATTATCTCGCCGCCACTGATAAATGGCGGCAAATTTTTCTTACTAAATTTTTAACATTTTTCTCTTTTGCAAGTTTGGCGGCGGTGCTTCCTCTCTCGGCAATGTTTATAGCGGTCATAAAAATAAAATATATTAACTTTGTAACGGTTTTCGATTAGGGCTATCAAGGCGTAAAGTACATAGTTGAACTCCCAAAATCGCAATTGTATTTAATGTTGCCTTCGAGTGACCGAAGGTTGCTTTTGAGAAAAGCTTTTTTTGTGGGTCGAATTCGAAATTAGAAAAATTTTGCTTATGGATAATTAGGGCGCAAATTAGAAAGAATAGTAATAAGGGAGATAATGAGAGATATTAGGGGTAGTAGTTGGAACGATTTTCCTCATAGTAAATTATTGTTGCCATGAAGTTTGTGGTTACTGTAAGAATATTCGTTTTATAAGGAGCAGAGAAGGTAGACTAATGAAACGATAGTCTGTGATGCAAAGCATGTATCATTTATTGATCGAGTAAACCTATTTCCACATGGACCCTCGTGCTCCATCAACATCTCGCTAGGTTCCAACTCGTCTCTCGTCTTCGTGTCACTGCATCATATTAAGAGTCGCTTTGAAGTATTAGCAGCATGGCCACATCTCGAGTTTGTGAAGTTGGCGTCTTTACAGAGAAAAATATGACCCAGGTACGATGACCACCGTAGCCGAATAGGAAGGTCTGTAAACTGCCATTCAGTAGGTTTCGGGTCCGAGGACAGGCCGACGCAGACTTTTTTTTAATCAGACAAAAAATTAAAAGGCTCTCTTTTTGAAGAAAACCCATAGGTATCTCCTTACTCTTGTTCTATTTTATTAGGTGACTTTCGCTCTGCATTATTTTGGAACGCCTTGCTGAACTACTTGTTAGAATTCTGAAGATTTCCTTCGAGGGTTAAGCTTCGTATTGTATCTCCTCAACATTTTCTCTTTTTTCTCTCTTGCCCTCTTAAGTTCTTCTCTGATGGTTTGTGGTCTTAAGGCAAATTAGTGCTTAATACTTATTGGTGCAATCCTTTTGGTAAAAATGTCTGCCGCTTCATTTCCTTCTGTACATTCGCGCGCCGAAACTTGGAGGAAGAATACCCTGCTGTTTGTCGCTAAGGAGTTTTGTATCTCCATGCACTCGAGAACCAATGAAGAATTGACTTCAAAGGAAAGCAAAATACTGAGTGTGGCCTGACTTTCTTTTAATATTGTGATGTTTTCTTTGGGATGCTTTCGCTGAAGATTGATCTCTGCGCACAGGCTATTTAGTGGCGTGAGCCGCCGAGTTTCCTTATCTGATTAAAATCTTTGGTTCGAAGCGTAGGGAGGGGCTGTTTTTTTTTATGGTGTGGTATCTTAAGAGCTCACTTCTGAGAGAGTGTAGACTTTGATGGCATCCAGAAGTACATATGTAGAAGCCTCATTCTCGGTAAAATTCTTCTTTTTATAAATGCTTCAATCCAATGAGGTTGCTCTAATTGAACGACTGACTGCGGAGTGCGTGGAGAGTAGGACATGCGTTCTTTCTCATTGTATCACTGAGGAGCAGCTCGGCGCCAAATATTTATTTATTTGGCATTGTATGCTAATATTTTTATTGAGTTTAGAATATCTAATTACTAATTATATTACTGTACTGTATTGGTCAGAAAAGAGAAAATATCGTTATTAATTGCTTTTAAATTATCTACCACCACAGATTCTGGAGTCCAGCAATGAGGAGCAACGCCCACCCAATGAGTCCAATGGCAATTCACTAGCACAGCGTGCTTCCTGGTTGAATAAGTTGAATGGCGTTGATGGGATGGATACGCCTCGAAAGTATGGCCCACGCGGTGCCTATGACAATGGACGCTACTATTAAATTAAAGCAGATCAGTTATATTAAAAAAAAAATAGCAGAACGAAAGAGTGAATGAGAGGAACTTACTTATTGGTTAGTTATGGAAAGCTTAGAAGAGAATTGAAGCGCAAACAAAAGATAACGTAAAATAAAGTAGGCAGTGCTCTTAAACGAACTGAAGTAATTGTCTGTGGAGTTATGAAAATAGCATCGTCATGAAAGTTACTCAGTAATAGTTATCCGGAGCGACATCTACAAACCGAGAATATAGGCTTTTCATTAATTTAGTAAGATAAAAAACATGTTCTGCGAAAAAACTAAAAAGTGGCGTTTTGCTTTAAAACCTTTCACATACGATTGAAGTTCAACGAGAATGAGCTTTTACTTATATTTATGGAAAAATGTCAAAATAAAAGCACTTCACAAACTTTATATTTTATTCAATTTTAGTTTTTATTTTTTAATTTTCAAACTTTTGTGGACACATTAGAGGAATGACCTCTGCAACCTATTTTGTAAACGCTTTTTAATATTATCTCCTGGAACGAGCTTCGTAAAGCTTTCGAAAGCCTGAACTGAGAGAACTTCTATGTTGTGCCGTCACATTTTAAGAAAGCTTAGAAAAACTTGGCACATCTTTTCAACTCTCTATGCTTTTATTGTGTGACGCAAGAACTGAAGCCTATCACTTCTCTAACTTTGCTGCGGGCAAAGCTCTTTTAAGCTTTCTGTATATTTTGTATAGGCGAGCTAAGAGTAAAAGCTCTCGCTGCCCATCGCTGGTCTATAGAAAATGCATAGAAAGCTTAAAGGAGCTTTGCCCGTAATGATGGCCAGAGAAAGCTTTCACTCTTTGTATGTACGTATATAAGTATAAAACAGTGACCGAGACAGAGAGGAAAGCTTTTCTCGCGAATTTAATCCAAGTTAAAGAACTAATAGCTAAATTTTTCTTTAATTTATAAGTTTTTCCAATAAATGGGTCATTAAAAATATGAATTTCATCTTAAATCTGCAAGCTCGGGTAATATATGGAACATTAATTTAAAGCTTTTTTCCTAGCATATAAAATTTACATGTTTATAAGAAAAAATATGACGCTTTTATTTGCAATAATTTTATAAATTTGAATGGATGTAGGTTTTTGGTGGAGGCTTTTTGAAAGCTCGTTATTTAATCAAAATTAAATAATTAGAATTTTTATTTTTGTGTGATTTTAAGGAACACAATTTAAGCTTTCATTTAAAATATGAGCTTTCCTTGAAATAAATTTATAATTTAAATCATTTAATTGTTAAGAAACAATAATTCATCTATATACTCGTATGTATGTGCTATAAAAACAATATAGTTTAGATGAAAAACTTCACATGTTCCTAAATACTTATGTAACAGACACAATAATTATTAACCTCATAAATGTATGTAATGTATATTGAGCTTTTAAAGAAAATTGTAGCCAAATAAAATGGTTTTTAATTCTTTTATTCATCTTCATGTATTATACTATAAGTGTGTTTATTAAACGAGCGGCGAACAACATAAACAACTGTTATTATTGTATATACGTAATGTATTCAAAAATAAATAATTTATTCATACGTGTTATTCTATTGTAAATGTTGACATAAAAACAATAATTTTTCGTAGTTTTTAGTCAAATGCGAATACAGAGAAAAATTACACACAAAAAAAAATTTGGGAAAACCGTATTTTAAATAATCGAAAATATTACAAACAAAAAAAAACGGAAAGCAAAAGGACATTGTATTCCAGATGGGAAACATTTTAAGTGAAATTTTAAATAAATACATAAATATATATCTACCCATGTTCGTGCATATGTAAGTTGTATCAATCAGATCGGGGCAGCTTTATGTTTAACAATAAATAAATAACAACAATATTTTAAGGTTTTGAATTATTACTAAATACATATTGTGTCTTTATATCAGCGAGGATCACAGAAAGCTTTTAATGTGCTCAAAGATTTTAATATAATCTTCCTCACGGTATATGTATGAATTGGTCGGAGCTGATTTATTTCGTTCAGTTGTAGGTGCATTAGTATGTATGCCAGTAGAAGACTCTGCGCGCAGATTTAAAAAATCTACTAAATTTTATAAAAAGCGTTTAGTTAGCATGCTGGAAAGCTGCCTAGAGACTGTCGAAAAAAATTACTTAGTCGGCATATAAATGGTTCCAAGACAAGATATGCTTCCTCAAGAGATCGGTAGGAAGTCAGGTGATGGAATTTTCCGATTGCGTTGGCGAAAAAGCAGTGGTAAGCAGTGCGCGCTTCCACTGCGCAGGCCTGGGTTCAAGCCCTGGTCAAAGCAACATCGCCCCCTCGGCAGGCAATGGCAAACAGCTTCTCATAAAATTGCAAACACCGTTCGGAGTCGGTGTGAAACTGTAGGAGACCTCCCCTTTGTGTGACAAAGTTAGTTTTCTGAGGCTAGATCTAGCTTTTTTCTTTGTCGTTTAGCTTCGGAATTTAGGATTAAGCTTCGTGGCTTTTTTCTAGCCTTTTCTTATTTTCAAACTAGCATTTTTTTAAGGACAATCCCCACGGTTTATTTGTAGTTGCACTAAATTATTGTTCCAATTCAGTTCTACTTGACGAAATGTTAAGCGAATATCACCCGCCGTCATCGCTTCTTCTGATGAAATTTACTCAGCGAACTCGTTCTGTTCATACTTAAAGAGTTTTTTCAGGTGCTCGCAAGTGCCCCTATAAAACCAGGGAAAGCATGTTATTTCTTAGAACTCCGCACCCCACGGGAATGACGTCAAGCACTACATCGTGAGGGAGAAAAGTATTTAGTCGCCGCTGCTATGTTCTAGCCATTCGGGGGTCCTTAGCCCCTTCATCGCCTCTGCTATTGCGTCACATGCTGCCGACCATATTTCGCTGCTTTGTAGCATAACCTCCACGAGTGACTCAGCGGTGAAACTCTCGCCAGATAACGGGTGATTTTTTAAGAGCTTGATAACTTTTTTTTTAAAAAAAACGCATAAAATTTGCAAAATCTCATCGGTTCTTTATTTGAAACGTTAGATTGGTCCATGACATTTACTTTTTGAAGATAATTTCATTTAAATGTTGACCGCGGCTGCGTCTTAGGTGGTCCATTCGGAAAGTCCAATTTTGGGCAACTTTTTCGAGCATTTCGGCCGGAATAGCCCGAATTTCTTCGGAAATGTTGTCTTCCAAAGCTGGAATAGTTGCTGGCTTATTTCTGTAGACTTTAGACTTGACGTAGCCCCACAAAAAATAGTCTAAAGGCGTCAAATCGCATGATCTTGGTGGCCAACTTACCGGTCCATTTCTTGAGATGAATTGTTCTCCGAAGTTTTCCCTCAAAATGGCCATAGAATCGCGAGCTGTGTGGCATGTAGCGCCATCTTGTTGAAACCACATGTCAACCAAGTTCAGTTCTTCCATTTTTGGCAACAAAAAGTTTGTTAGCATCGAACGATAGCGATCGCCATTCACCGTAACGTTGCGTCCAACAGCATCTTTGAAAAAAATACGGTCCAATGATTCCACCAGCGTACAAACCACACCAAACAGTGCATTTTTCGGGATGCATGGGCAGTTCTTGAACGGCTTCTGGTTGCTCTTCACTCCAAATGCGGCAATTTTGCTTATTTACGAAGCCATTCAACCAGAAATGAGCCTCATCGCTGAACAAAATTTGTCGATAAAAAAGCGGATTTTCTGCCAACTTTTCTAGGGCCCATTCACTGAAAATTCGACGTTGTGGCAGATCGTTCGGCTTCAGTTCTTGCACGAGCTGTATTTTATACGGTTTTACACCAAGATCTTTGCGTAAAATCTTCCATGTGGTCGAATAACACAAACCCAATTGCTGCGAACGGCGACGAATCGACATTTCACGGTCTTCAGCAACACTCTCAGAAACAGACGCAATATTCTCTTCTGTACGCACTGTACGCATTCGTGTGGTTGGTTTAATGTCCAATAAAGTAAACTGAGTGCGAAACTTGGTCACAATCGCATTAATTGTTTGCTCACTTGGTCGATTATGTAGACCATAAATCGGACGTAAAGCGCGAAACACATTTCGAACCGAACACTGATTTTGGTAATAAAATTCAATGATTTGCAAGCGTTGCTCGTTAGTAAGTCTATTCATGATGAAATTTCAAAGCATACTGAGCATCTTTCTCTTTGACACCATGTCTGAAATCCCACGTGATCTGTCAAATACTAATGCATGAAAATCCTAACCTCAAAAAAATCACCCGTTATGTTGCGAAGCTTGCATCTGGTACTGTCAAATCGCATACACTCAAAAAAGACGTCTTCTATTGCATCTCCTCCGCAGTAGGCGCATATGGGTTCCGGTTCGTGTTTGAATCGGTGAAGGTATGCTTTGAAGCACTCATGTCGAGTTAAACAGTTTGTCAAATAGAAATCGACTTCGCCGTTTAGCCTGCTTCATTTGAGTTTATATACAGTTTGCTCTTAACTATGATCCCAAACTAAGTGCTATATAACCATTATTATGTAGTTCCCAACACTAAGTGATCCGGCTGTGTGGACGAATACAACTGATTTCAGTTTTACCCTGGCCACCACCAGACAAATACATACAATGATAGATATTGGTTGAGGTATTTCCTGCGACCAGGTGATCTATTGTACCCAATTTTTCCCCTAACCAGAGTCATATTTGTCACGTCGGTCGTGGCTTGTCCTACACGGACAAATTCCGAGTTTGGAATCTTTGATATCGATTTCAAATGGCACTAAGAGATGATATGCAAATTGGGACTCATTGAAAATTTCCACAGGCTTGAGTTGACGTCGAAAGCCGTAAAGAGCTGCATGACGAATTTTTTCCTGTGGAAAACAGTGTAAAACAGCGATGAGCAGAGAGAGCTTTTACTCTGCACGCTCCTATACAAAATGTAAAGGAAGCTTAAAAGAGCTTTGCCCGCGGGCAAGACAGTGCCTATCAGTGGTGTAAAATCTTCAGTTAGCCCGCGTAGGTAAAGCTTATCGAAGAAGATGGAATGACGGACGAGTCATACCAATAAAAATACAACGATAAAGCTTACTGGGACTTTTTGTAGAAATGGAAGCTGATGCTCTGGGAAAATTATCCTTTGACTCGACACTAATGAATAGATGGAAGCTTACAGCTCTTTATGGTGAATTCAGATATCTTATAGATATGTATGTTTGTATATGCAGCGAGCAAGTGCTTGTGCACTTAAAGTTCATTAAAGATACTAGTTTATTTTTTGAGAAATGTAAGATGACACCAAGGTATGTTGCTTGAACCAGAACACGTCGTGAAAGAATCATGACAAAAAGGAAAAAAAGGAAACATTTGTATGTTCTTATAAATAAAGCATCAAGAAAGTCAAGCTCCCTTACTAATTGAGTCTTAATTCAA